AAAAAAAAAAAAACCCTTCTTTACAGAGAAATCTAAACCCTGAAAAAAAAACTATACGGAGATTAAACACAAACAGACGCCCCAGCTTGATTTCTACACATAAACGGGCATCAAAAGATAAACGAAACCCTAATTCTCCGGACCCAGAAAAAATAGTTGAGGCTCCTCTACTGCCCCAGGTCCAGAGGAAAAATTCACAGAAAAAGAAAAAGGGAGAAAACCCTCGTCTTCCCCCTTCATCTACAACTCAGCTTTCGAATCACCCATTTCAGTTTATACACTCGCATTGGTAAGTGCAAGTGAGCCAAATCAATTCTCTCTCTAGCTCTGCAAATGAAACGAGCGAAGAGTGAAACTTGGGTATTAATGAAGAGGACCTAAAGATGGAGAGAGAGAGAGAGAGAGAGAGGAATTTGTCGGATTTTATTAGAGTTTTTGACATCCTTCAAATGCCAAATTGTCCACTTATTGATGATTTTTTTATTTTTTTTCGGTGTTATGTATAATGGGACAAAATATATATTTTTTTTAAATAGGGTAATTTATATATTTAATTTAATACTCCGTATTATTAGTGTGAAATTAATTATTCAAAACGTTGATTGATTTCGGACATTTGTGTTAGAGCACCCACAATGCTTTGGGTCTCTTAGAAAAAAATCACATGCCATGTAGGAAAAAAAACCTAATCTATAAAAAAATGTTTCACAATACAATTAAAAGTGGACCTAGTCTAACTTATGTGGCACTAGAAAAAAAAAGACCAAGTCCACACTTGGGTCTATTTTGGACTCAAGTGCAAACCCGCCTAGTCATTAATTGTTCACAATTTTTTAATAGACAAAACATATTTTTTTTTATATGCATTTATTATTACTATTTTTTTATTGTTTGTTTAGTATTATAGACCTAATACTTTTTTGTTTTGCATTGGATAGATTTCGGGTTTTTAGCTTGGGTTTGTCCATGTCATTATGGACTTAAGTCTATTTATTTGCCACATATGCAAAAAGAGACTCAAAGCATTGTGTGTGCTAAGACTAAAATTCTAGCCATTAAGTCAAATATTTGAAACCAATTTCAACCCATTTTAATTATTGCTATCAGATTTCCCCAAACTTTAACGTGATTTACCTGTCCTTTTTTTTTTTTTTTTTTT